TTCCACAAATTAAATTTTGGTTCATTAAAATCAATTAATTTAAATAAAATTAATTTAAAAATTAACAATTAAAATAAATTACTAAATAAAGTTAATCTTTCTATCAAAAGAGAATGGTCCTGGTTCTTGCTTGTGTTTTCCTTTGCTCTAGGATTTAATGTAGGCATCAATTTAAACATCAGCATAGCACAGGGGAGGGTCATTAAAGGAGAATGCTTACTTTATTCTAGTGCAGGAGACATAGTAAACCAGACTACAATCTGAAGATTGATATCAGGGTCAATGTCTGATTGTTTTTCTGGTTAAAAAACATGGGAAAGAAACTACCCTTGTGTTAAAGTAAAAATAAACCAAAATGAGTAGCAGTTGCTGTTTTTCTTTTCTTGGTGTAAAACTTATGCTATTTTGACAGAAGAAAAGTTGGTCAAGATTACAGTAGATTTCAATTCCTTATGGAATGATTTATTGGCCTCTTTCTGTATTTACAACAGGTGGTTTGTGTTTGACACAGAAACAAAAGACTTGGTCACTGTACACACAGATGGAAACGAACAGCTGTCCGTAATGCGTTACTCACCAGGTTTGAGAGCGTTTATTTACTGGTTAGGAAAAAAAAGTGTTGAATTTTTTTCTATTAAATTTGGGGTTGGTTTGTTTTAAAATAATTCCCCTCTTGCCATACTGAAGTTGAAAATAAAAATGCTGTGAAACATTGGCAACTCTGAATGGGTGCTGTCTTAAGCTCTAGTTTTCTTTTCCCTCCCTTCCCCACATGCTCAATCTGGTTTCACCGGGAAACAAAAACCCCAAATATGACTTAACTGCGCAGGTTGTTGCAATCAGGTTAGCCCTAAATGGGCTGTAGCTGCTTCCAGAAGTGTCGTGTGTTGGTAACAGTAATATTTGCTGTATAAACTTGCTGGTTTGGAATCTTGAAACGTGCCTCAATATGAACTGAAAAAGAAAAAACCAGAATTTTATTTTTTCATGTTTCAGTATCGAGGCCTTTAAGACCAGTTCCTCTTGTCTGTGACACAGTAACTTTTCAAAATTAGCCCGAGTTTTTTCTTGCAGGAATAATTACAGTTCACTTTTGTGTTTATAGATGGAAATTTCTTGGCAATAGGTTCCCATGACAACTGTATTTATATATATGGCGTAAGTGAAAATGGAAGAAAGTACACTAGAATTGGCAAATGTTCGGTAAGCAACTTTTTTTTCCTCCTGGTTCAATATTAACAACTTAAGTATGTTTTGTAGCACTGTATTAATACCATCACATTGAGAGATACTGTTAGTGCAGTTAATACAATATTTTTCTCTTTGTAGGGTCATTCCAGCTTCATTACTCATCTGGACTGGTCTGTTAATTCACAATATCTTGTGTCTAATTCAGGAGACTATGAAATCTTATACTGTGAGTAAGAATTCTATTTAGTCCTTTTGTGCAAAGTTCAGGCAGTCTAATACAGATTTAAAATTTAAATGAGACTGTATAACTGCCAAGATAGACCATATGTTTTAATTCATCTGGTGCAATCAAAAATCTATACAATTTGAGAATTAAAAATATTACCGTGGTTGTTTGTTTTTCTTTTGTAGGGATCCCCTCTGCTTGTAAACAAGTTGTGAGTGTTGAAACAACTAGAGATATAGAATGGGCCACTTACACCTGTACTTTAGGATTTCATGTTTTTGGTAAGTATCTCTCCTCTTACAAGCTCTTACCGTTCTTGTTATTAACAAACACTTGGATTGCCAACTTTTTCTTATGAAACATGACTATTCATATTTCAGGGAAAAATACAGAACTTCTGTTATGCCATTTCTATTACAATCTGTCCTCTTATTTCAATCCAGAAAGACTCTGATTTAATATTCTTGCTAGCTTCAAGTAAAATATTAAATTAGAACATAAATGGGACACAGGGAAGAAATCACACGCTGCCCTTTCTGTCACACTAGAGCTGCTGCTTGTTATTTTTAATTTAAAGTACCATTTCTATGGAATTATCATTTATTTAGGCAGCTACTGGGCCAAATCCCCTTACCAGAACCAATTTCATTTGCACTAGTTACCGTGCAAACACAAAACGGGTGACAGTCTCTTGTCATTAAGTACTTAGAATATATTTTGATACAATATATAGCAATTAAAGTGGGTGAAAGGAATGCAAGAAGGAAGAAGAAAACTGGAACATAATCAGGATGGTTTGTTTCCATGGGACTTCTGCCAGTTTTGAAGGAGCTGCTTTCCTCAGGGTACTCTGAAGCTTTCTACTCATTCCACGACGCATGCCGAACTAGATGGATCGTTACAAAAGCTGAGTACGAGAAGGTTCAAATTCTTGTGTCCTCAAGATAAAATAGGAAGCCATGGTAAGAAGTTCAGAGAAAAGTCTGGTTTAGTATAAGCAGTAAGCAAGGAAGATTTTCACCTGTGTTTCAAGTAGAATAGATGCAGTGTTGTGTTTGAAGGCGGCCAGAAAGGACATGTTTTTAGAGCCTAAAGATGGGATGGCAGTAGCAATATGCTGGGAAGACACATTCAAATTTTGTATAATTTAACTGACAAGCAGTGCTTGGTTATCACAACAACACGCAGATTTAGTGAAAGGAGGAAACCGTAGAAGGCTGGTTACATGTAGACAAAATGTCTCTCTCATGAGGACTGAAGGCCCTTATAGAACTATTAACATATTCCTGGGGTTTGAGCTTACCTGACACGCAGTTACAAGCTACAGAGTCTTTGCATTTAGCATCATGGGTTCAGATATTCTGAGATGATCAGCACTTAAGTGAGTATTCCTTACTTTATAATTTGGATTCATGCAAAACATAGTGCTGTTAGAATGTGGGGCTGCTTTTGGTGCATAGAGAGTCATAGGAGAGGGGGTCACACCTGAGAGGGGTTTTCCCCCCCTTTGTAACAGATCAGCTTTTGGAGCCAGGCTGTGGAACAAAATGCTCTACTGGGCCAATGGGGAACTGGTAGAAACTGCATATACATTTTTATACTTACAGTCCTCCATGCTGAACTGGTTTATTGTAAGCTAAAGCAACAAGGATGAGAAATAAATAAAAGTAGCTGCTAGTTTTAATAATTATCACAATTATCATTTTAGTAATGTCATAGAGGTTGTGAGGGTGTTCATCAAATTAAAAGAATTTTAAAGTAAAAGGATGTAACTTACTCAGGATATGCAGGGCACAAGGAAAGAACATGGTGCCATACATACTGAGGGTTCGTAGCTCTACAGTTAGGTTCAGACTGGGAATTTACAAAGATAATGCATAATTATTGTAGATGAAAAAAAGAATATTAATGATGGCAGGGTTATACTCTTGCCCAGAATCAGATTCTCTGTCAGAATCCGTAAAATCACAGGAATTGCTGAGGATGTGAGATTTTAACTATTGCATTGTCCTTTGTGAAGGGAATTGCAATACAGTGGCTAACCCACAAGTTCTCAGAATTTTCTGATAGAGGAAATAGATAAGCACCTAAAGAGGAGTTACCTCCAGATTTGATTCTGGAGAATTGGAAAGAACTTACTGAGAACATTAATGCATCTTATGTAGGAATGACTGTGGAATTAGGGAGGTGTGATCCTTAGTATAGGAAGGAAAAAAAGCAACAAAATGAAAATAATGGACTTCAGGGAGGCAAACTGCAAAAATCCAAAGTCCTGTTAGGGAAGATCTGAAGTTGGAGAATAGGTGAGATGTGGTAGTTCCTTAGATGGTGTGAAGCACACAAACTCTGCCAGCCAAGAGGAAAGATAGGAGTGGCAGCAAGACACAAATTCGGTTAAACTGCTGTTCACCTCTCCTACAAGGAAGAGGAGTGCAGAAAGAAGCTGTTGGAGGACCAAGGAGAGACATAAACAAAGGCTAAACATAAGTGCATACTTGTGACGAGTGCAGAAATAACAGAAGGGCCAAAGACAGTATTGGTCTGCTATGCAGAGAGGAGAGATGACACTGATAAAATTGAAGTGTTAAAAAACCCAACACTTTTTTTTTTCTTTTTTAATATATCTTTATTAGAAGACTCACTACAATCTGATGGCCAACCCGGTTAGTGCCAGTAATGAAAGGATAAGACCTCTGCTTTCGGTACGGGAGGAGTGGATTGGAAAGTAGTTAGAAGTCGGATATTTTCAGATATCTGAGTGTGATGGACCTTGCATCTGTAAAACCAACTAGTTAGTGTGATCTCGAGACCATTAGTATTTACTTTCAGGACTTCACAGAGGATAGTCAAAGACTGGAAAAATGGAGGAGGAGAAATGCAGTATCTGCAGAATCATTTATTTACTTTCAGATTCCATATGGAGAGGATAAAGTGCAAAGGTAGTGGCTAGAATAATAAATTGAAGAAGCTCATAAATTATAAATTGGAAACCAGTCCGGTAATGTTGGAAGTCACTCTACTATTCAGTACTTTGGGGCCTCAGAGCAGCCAGTCTGAACAATCTTCAAATGCTTGCCGGGATTTCCCCGCTGGACGTAGAAGAAGCAATTGCATCGTCAAGGATGTGAGGCTTCTAGTGTATTGATTTTTCAGTAGCTACTGGCTGACTGAAACTAAGTATATTTTCTCACTCTAGTAGAACCACATAAAAATCATAAATAGCATGCATAGAACTCACAGATCAACATAACCAATGAAGGGGGGGAAGTGAACATTGATCTGCTGAACACCTGCCCTCAAGTATGGGAACAGATTAGTCAGCCAGGAAATGTTTAGAGACGATTCAACTGAAAATCAACGGCATGTAAGGAAGTGTGTTTAAGGGAGGATACTTTAGTGATGCACACACATGTAAATGTGAAGGACTAAAGTCTTTAAAACACTTACTGATCTGTACACGCTTGCAAGAGCCATGCGGTGCCGGATATGCCACCAAGGCATCAGTTCATACAACATGCCCAGTTTTGGAAAAATTGGTATTTGAGGTGAAGGACAGGAACAGAAGAAATCTAAGATGCTGTGCGAAGCCTGACAACATTGCAAGCAAAGCAGAGCTCAGTCTGGTTGGGTTCAAATACAACTAGAAGACTGTACACTGAATAGTATGTTTGTTTGAATATGTTTATTAATAGTATGGATGATAAAACAGCGTGTATAATTTGTAGGTGGCGTGAAGCTACAGGAGTAGCAAGTTGTCTTGAGAAACAGAGGAATGGTATGAAAAAATGAGACAAATAGCAGGTTACACACTTGAACAGCAGAACTCAGTTGCACAAACGCAGCACGGAGGAGAGGAGGCAGGAGAGCAGATCTGCACGTAAAGATCAGATTACTCTTACATACAAACCGAACGTGAATCAACAGCATTATGCTGTTGTAGGAAAGGCAGATGCATTAGCGGGATGTATAAGGAAAAGAATGTCATGCAAAATGTGAAGTAATTGTCCATTTATCAGTATCTGCTTCAGTCACAGCTGGAATAGCAGCTTCTGGTTTTTGCACGTTGGACCAGCAGATAATGTGCTGACTAGCAAGAATAATTATCCGTCTAAATGTTGCTCTGGGAGAAGAGATGTAATGAATGAATTTTAGACAAGAGGAGGAGAAAATAAGTATGGCATCAATCTTCAAATGAGAAAAAGGAAATGATCTCTTTCCATGTCTATGGAGGATGGGGAAACAAATGGACTAATTTTTCAGTGAAGGGGATTCAGTTTACGTGTTTGGAAAAACTGACAGTGAGCCACTGGAAGAAATTTTGAAAGAGCAGAGGCTCAAAGGAAAACCCTGATATGATCCTTTCCTCATTTCAAAATGGCAGTCTTGTTTCTTAAACCATTTTCTTTAGGGGTTATCTCCAGCTTGTCATTGTGACCTCTTGAGAAGACTCCTGCCTCTTTTCAGCTAGCATTTGATGTTCATACAGCCTCCTTTTTTGTCAAAGCAGTTATAAGAAACAGCTTTTCTGTGTCTCTTCATTCTACGTGTTTCTAATTCCACGAGCAGCAATTACCATGTTTCTTCTTTGCACCTTCCTTTGCTTTGAGCCCCTGATCTAGCAAAGAGGTGTTTCCACACACATCAGAAGTGTTAGGGGCAAATCAGTACTTTGTGTTTCGTTTTACTTAAAACAATTTGTAATTCCTTATAAAGACGTGGAATCCCTTCCTCTTAGTGCTTTTGAATTGCTGTGCAATGACACAAAGACTGTATTTGAGAAGAATTACGTGTGGATTGAAGGCTAGCTGGAGTGTGCCTGCCCTGCCCGCAGGCGTAGACATCCTTCCAAGACATGGGAGGGCAAGTAGCAACTGTCTCATCCTGACCTGTAATAATAAGGAAGGAAGAGCATGTACTCAAGTGGTAGGACTTTGGGAGACACTGCAGAGGATGTGTGGCATAGGGACAGTCATTGAAAATCATAACACCAAGACAAGGTGGGCTGTTTGCCAAATCGTAGTGGCAGAGCACGCATTATAACAGACTATGTCAGTGGTCTCAAAGTTAGGTATCATTTATGTTGAGTAGGGATTAGATAAAATCTGAATTACAAAAATCATAAAAAGCACCACAGTACTACATACAAAAAAAAAAAGAAATTTCAATAACTGGTTGAATTTTATTACAATTTATTACAGGCAAGTATTCAGAGGCTTTAAAGATGCGGTGCATAGATTTGATCCTTGCATTGATGAGCCTACAGTTTAATTTTAGAACACCACTTTGTGCAAGAATAGCAAGGAGTAAAGTACGTGAGGAAGGAGGAGAATTACTTACAGTAAACCAAAAGCATTTTAAAAATTTATAGTAGGTTCAGTGTATTTTTGAGGGATCTATTAATTATTAAATAACATATAAAACTATGTAATTTCTTGTTTCATAGGTTTTAGAGTTTAGTAATATGAAGAAAGTATGCTGAATCATACACAGGTAGTTTTTTAGACTATAGTAGACTAAAGTATGTCAGCTCGTACATAAGCAGAAGGGAAAATAAAAGCAGTTATTTTTCCCCATAACCATATGAAAATTCTTTTAGGCTCAGACATGTGACCATAACTCAGCAGATTCCTTTTTTTCAGAGTAAAAAGCACTTTGCTGACTGGAGAAAATAAAGTATTTGTTTATGCGCTTGATTCCCTATTAGGATCTGGTTTTTTGCTGGCACTGAAGTATGCATACTGACTCAGCTGCAGTTATTTTTATAGTGTTTTTTTTTCTTTTTTTTTTTTTTTCAAACAAGTAATCCTTTATAAATATTTTAACAAAAACTTAAGCTGTCACTTTTATTGCTATTATAAAAGCCTTTAATTAGTTCCTCTGTGTTTCAGGTGTATGGCCGGAAGGTTCAGATGGAACAGATATCAACGCTGTCTGTCGATCACATGGGAGAAAACTGCTATCAACAGGGGATGATTTTGGCAAAGTACATCTCTTCTCATATCCATGTTCACAGTTTAGGGTAAGGCATTTCAAAAAAATTTACTCTCGTAATTTGCATAAATGCATTAAATGTTGTTTTCCTATGTACAAAAAATCCCCCAACCAAAACCAAACAAAAAACAAACACCAAAAAAAGGGAGATGGGAATATACAGATGCCTAAGGGATTTACTTAAAGTTGATTGAGACTACAATTAAATTTAAAAATTAATTTCATATTAAAATACTTCAAGAGAATGATGTGATGCCTTGATTTCGTTGTTGTATAAATGTTATGTTAGAACAATATGTTTTTATGACAATTTATGTTCTCACTAATATGGTGTTTTCTAGGCTCCAAGCCACGTGTACGGTGGACATAGTAGTCATGTAACTAATGTAGATTTTCTCTGTGAAGACACCCATCTCATCTCCACAGGCGGAAAAGATACGAGTATTATGCAGTGGCGAGTCATTTAGAGGAAACATCAGTGTGAACATACACAGTTGAGTCGACCATGCACAGAACTTATGTATAAACTGTATATTTAAAACTTAACAGTATGTTTGCAGTTTAGCCTGGTCACTGTGATTTTCGTTTAAAAAATTCTTACAAACCTCAGGAAAATTAAGCCCTGTGCTGGTTACTTTACTCAGTCTAGTGATTTTTTTTTTTTGATTGTGTCACACCTTAAGAATGATCATTTTCTCTTCTGTTGTACAATATACAATGCAGTACAAGTTTAATATAAGAAATGTGGCTTGACAGTTTGCAATACAGTGGTATCAGCAGAATGTGACTATCTTAAATGTTTTCTATACACACTGCTAAAATGGTCACAAAAATGCCTTTCAAAGACTGTATATATGTGCTTATTTGTTTCACTATCTACACTTTGTACTGTATATCTACTTATTTAGAAAAATCTATGGCGATATCAAGGTACCGAATTGTTTCTGATGGAGGATGATGCATAAACCGAGATGTAAGATGCAAAACTGAAGTGTTTTAGACCTGAAAATGTGAATGGTGGTAAATTTGCATTCTCTTGGGAATAGCACACCTCAGGTATCACCCGTGAGGAGTTGTGTTCCCTTTCAAGTGAATCACCAGGTTACGCCCCCGTTTGACCTGAATATCTAAGCAGGGTTTACAGATGTCTGTGTGGTTCAGGTATTCCATATGAGTTTAAATTAAAAATCTTTTTACTTGTATATGAACAATTTCTTTTTGAAAACAAAACAGAAAAGCTTGGCCACATCCCCATTATTGGTTGATATATTTAACTAATATGTATATTAATCAGCATGATGCTATATTGTACATGTATAAGATTTTAGCCGTTCATAACAAATGGTAAGGCAATCTAGCTTTACTTTTTTATGCTTATGGATATTGTATATTTGTATTTTAAGACCAAGTAGACCAAGTCTAAAGATATCTTTTTAAGTGTACCATAAACCTGCAGAGGGTAAAGGAAGTCTTGGAAGCCTACATGAGATATTAATGTGTAACTTCTGGCCCCTGTGTTTTGTGCATGGATGGATATTTATAGTATGAAATAAAATTGTGTTTTGCAATGAAGTAATAGTGGAGGTGGTATAAAATGGTTAAGAAGGCCTTACCAATGTTGATTGTGACACAGATTGAAATGTATTGTTTACTTTGAGGAATGTATCTGAAGAATTTTAAAAGAGAGGAGTTCTAAGCAGACTCGAAAAAGCTAATATTAAAATTTTGCTTGTAATGGACAGTAAGCGTTAATTCTCTGAACTCTAAAGCACTGGTTGTTTAGAGTGATTTAAATGAAATGGAATCAATAAATTTTGAAACTTTTTTTTATTACATCTCCAACCTCCTACACTGAAAGTGCAGGACACCAATAAACATGTATTAAAGTGAATTTTCAATGCATTCTTCCTGTTTTAGTAAAATATCTTTGTTTCAACATGAAATACTTACAGAAGAGACAGGCTTCTACTCAACAACATGCAGTTGTGATTTCTCAATTAGAGCTGCATTTGAAAATACTTGGGAATAAAATCTAGATTTGGGGGTACATAATTTCACGCATGAGCATAACCCTGGGAATGTGATCCCTGACGCACACCTAGAGAGTGAATCTCCAGCCTGGCAGCAGGCAAGAAGGACGCACCGCATGCTTTCCCCTGCACGCTGCCTTGGGTCTGCCTCCCGGTACACACCACTTATTTCTGAGCGCTCGGCAAGCAGAGGAGCATCCTTCCACTGCACGGGCTTATGCTTGTGGCAAGAGCTCCTGACAGTTTCTCTGTGTTAGGAACTTGTCCTCTGGCAAGACTTTTGAAGGCCAGGGTTCCAGGGTGACTTTAAGCTGACATAACTGAGCACCATCACTGAAGGAAGAGGTCTTGGCCCCAGCTGCTTATTCCCATCCCGTGCAGTAGCACAAGAGTTATTGTGATCATAGGGAGAACCCAGCTGGGAGATGGATCCAGGTTTAAAAAAAAAAAAAAAAAAAAAAAGGGCAAGTTGAACAACAGCTACTACAAAACAGCAAATCCTTTTCCTCTATTTCCTCATCTGGTCTAGCTGTGCAGCTGTATGAATGCTTTTACTGAGCGTGTACAGAGGCAGGAGCAATGTGGAGAAGTAGTAAATGGACAGAGTAACTGGAATGATGTCTTTTGTGGGCGATGTCAATCTCCCTCTCCTTGAAGTGTGTGAAACTAAGGCGAAATATCCCTGCCCTTTCTAGGATTAATCCCATCCTAAGAGGTTGTAATATGCAAATGACAGGTCCTCATCTTGTCTAGAAGCTTGGCTGATTATGCCACAAATCTTCTGTTTATTAATTTTTTTTTGCAGATGGAGTGCTTTCAGGTTTTCTGCTTTCAGAATTGCAGGTGATTTGTCATTACTTGCAACAGAGAAAACAGGAGCTACAAATAGGGTTGGCTCATTCCCTTTTCATCCTTCTCCCATAGTGCTACTCTTGGGATGTAATAATGTATTTGTGATCCCCATCTTCATTTTAAACTATTATCCCTTACAAGAAATAGATGACGAATCCTGCATGTTCATCCCTAGGGTTACTGATCAAGGGGGATGTTCAACAATCCCATCCCATCTGTACCTCTGCTGTTCCTGTTTCTAACTATTGCTGTTAAATGTGTCTTTGTTCCTCTATGAAAACCTGATAAATGTATTAGCTGAATTGGCAAATGGTGGGTAACGTCTTGAGCCAAATATCTGTTTGATGGCTGTTAAAGTGATCCTTGTTTCTTTATCCAGGAAATTCTACACAATTTCACCATTGTTTATATATAATCTTCAGCTCTCCCTACTTTCACCCTTGGATTTTCTTGGATTTTTCTCAGGAATGTTCTCTTTTTTGCTTTAAAAGAAAAAAGAAAAGAAAGAGTTTATTCCTGAACTTTGCATGTTTAATTCCCTCGGCAGTACCTGGGACACTTACACCTGATTCCTTCACCTGATAGTGTGTCTGCAGCAGTTGTCTTTTCCTGCCGTTCCACGGAGCCCAAGGCTACCTCCAAGTCCGTGGCTGGAGATACAGCCGGGCTTCTGCTGCTGATCCTCCCCTCCCCCTGAGCTTGGCTCCAGCCGGTGTAGCGTTGCTCAAGGAAGACTCATCTCTTCGTGTCTCTTGTGTATTGTCTACCAAGCATTCAGCTGCTCCCTTTCAGCTTGCTCCCTTTGGTTTGGATCTTGCTTTCCTTCCCTTTGTTTCTAGCATTGCTCTTCTGTGACTGCAGCTTCCCAGACCACGTCTGCCTTAGCCCTTAACGGCACATTTTGCTGCCCTTAACCACTTAAAAAACAGTGGTCCTGACTACCTCTCTGATCATTTTGGGGCTGAGTTTCTGGTTTCTTACTGCATCTGTACCCATGCTGCTGTTTTGACTTGAACTTAGCAGTATCGGTGACTGCATCTGCTCTTAGCCCCTTCCTCCCTGCCCTCCCGCCTCCTCGATGGAGGGTACTGGGCTGAGCAATGCTGTCTCGTCCTCCGTGTGTCTGTGTGCAGCCCTGTAATGTGTAACACATACTTCGATTTGAAAATATTTTTAGGGTAGAGATTTTTTTTTTCCTCTGTTGTTGTATGGCATTTAGCAATGGGATTTTGCGATCCTATGCTCACTACAACAGTATGATTGTCGTGTTTGTCCAAAATGATGAGCTTGTATATTCAGGTAACGCTTCTGTGTCTGAATATTCAATGTCATTAGCTACTGAAGTTGATAATACCTATTCTCTAAGTCTTAAATTATTCAGAAAACAATACATATGCTTTTAGAAGACTTCTTCCTCCCCCTTCTATATGCTTATAAAACAAACATAGGTTCAATCTGGTTTTTAGAATCATTGCCCATTTTCAAGTAGAGGCTTTTCATGATTTTATGTACTTCTCCTGCCTGTTTTCCTATATTTATTTTACTCCTAAAGGGCACATATTTGTATTATATCAAAACTAGAGCCTTTTTCAACTTAATTCTATATGTACTATTTGAATTACTACCTGAAAGAGGATTATTATGCAGATAGTTTTGGTAGTACTGAGTTTTGACAGGTTGTTGAAATCTTAACAGGTATTAAAAATTTCCGACAGATGAGCTCTACAAAAATCAGTCATTGTATTAAAAAAATAATTTAAAAAAAAGCAAAGGGGATAAATGTAAGAGAAAGTAAATAGTTTTTCAACGCTAGTGAATTAAAAAAAAACCCCACCATTTCAAATGATTAAAAAAATCCTCTCACGAAGCAAATCAATTTTGTTAAAATGTTTGGGGTTTTTTTACTATTCTAATTAATACAAGGTTAATTAATACAAGGTGATATTTCCTATGTGAAATATTTGGATGAATTTTTTTCTACAAAAGAATTAATATTAGAGGATATTATTTCCCTTCAAAGCTATTCACGGTGTAAGAGCTTGCAAGGGCAAACAGACCCTTTTTTGCAAGGGTTGGCGTTTTTCATTTCTTCAGGTTCTGCTCAGAGAAGCAGGCAGTGTTTTTGTTGTGTTTTCTCCTCTGTCCCTGGAACTAGGGCTGTTGACAGATCACTCAGTTGCATCCTCAAAAATCCTACAGATGGCAGGGAAAATGTCACTTTAATTACTAGTGAAAAGAACAGACTTACGAGAAGCCTAAACAGAAATCATCTTCTTGCATTGCTGGCCGGGATTCCTAGCCGTGCTGGAGCGGTCCGATCCCTGCCGTGCTGCTCTGGCTGCAGCAGGCTGCCCTTCAGATGAGATGCCCCAAGCCAGAGCATCTCCTAGCCCAAAAGATGGGAGATGAGGAACTGACTCCCGAGGGGAAGGACAGAATCACCCCCAGATCTGTGTGCTCCTGGATGGAGGCTGCTGGCTGCCGGGTGAGTGAGTACGTTAGCGGTTCACGCTCTTGCTGGGGGAGGTTGATGTTTCTCCTTAGTCATGCAGTTCTGCGGTAATTTCATTTTTCTTAATGGAACAACTTTGGCCCCTGAATTCATTAAATAATTACAGAAGACTAAGTGATAATTTACATGGAGGTATGACAGTTCAGCCGAAGCTGCCATCTGGCACCAAGTTTGGTAGACCTTTTTTGTGTCAGTGGTGACACCAGTGGGCTCGTCTGCGAAAGCCACTTAGGGGACCTTTGTCAGTCAGGATGATTCACAGCGTTGTGGGTTCCCCTGGCCTCCTGCCAAGTGTGGAAGTGTAAGAAAGTGCCTCCTTTCCACAGACCCTCTACGCTGTTGGTGTCACCAGATTCTGTAGGCACTTCCTTAGACCTTGCATGTGTTTTTATGAAAGCTTGAGGTCTTGGACTCCATGAAAAGTGGTTCGTCCCCACCAGCTCTGCAGTCCCAACTTAGCACAGGTTTGTTTTTATCATCTTTTGGCTATCTACAAACTACATTAAATTGATCTAGACATTTCCATTCATTTGTAGTGGACATACCTGCACCTAAAAGGCTGCCTCTTTGGGTCTAGTCTAAGGTGCTGAGATTTTAACCATGAGATGGTGACCTGTTTTCTAGGTCTCCATGCAAGTGAACAGGTTTTCAGCAGGGCCTTCTAAGAGATGAACATTCTTAAAATCTGA